AAAAGTAGCTTTTGTTGCTTCTGTCTGGCTTTATAAGAGGGGCGTCACAGGGTCACATCGTAACTACATTAGTCAAGGTTCAACAGGGCTGAAGAGTGGGTCTGGGTGGGGGGGTGGGGGGGTCAGGACCAGGTCCCAGTGAGTTAGAGATGAGATGGATCAAGCATGTGTGTGGGTGGGGGGGGGGGGGGGGATTAGTCCATTCATGCTCGACTGGTCCTCGGGCATGCTAACAGGCTACAGTGCTAATCTAGTTAGCAGTGGAAGCCATGCAGAGAGGAGGCAAGCTGGAGGTTTGGTGAAGGTTATGTTTGGGGTGGGGGGCTGGTGGGGTCATGGTCTGGAGGATATGAGCTGGGTGGCAGGTGGTCAAAGCTGAATAGTAGACTAGGCAAGTGCTGGCTGGGTGGAAAGGAGGCAGATGACGGGACACGGGGTGAAAGTGGGCATATGATGAAGGATGGCAAAGGGCGGCTGTGAGTCCACGAGGGGGTGTTGCGCCGTTCGTCTGTGGTCCACAGATGAACGGAGGAGGATGAAATCATGACCCAGTGATCAGTCGGCCTCTTATTAAATCACATGCAGGCTCATTGCACCACTTATCCTGTACTTTATCTTTCATTTGAGCCCCACATAGTGAAACGCCAATCAATCCAGGGCACCGAACAGTGCAAGAGGGAAAGTGCTGCTCTGGACTACTAAAACATGAACCTGTGGAGTTTAGAGTATACTTACCGTCAGAGGAGAGCTCCTGTGTTGAGTAAATTACATAACTATTTTATTTAGAGACAGCTGTAAACAAACGTAATGATTATCGTTTTCCTCCATCTTGCAGAGTAACGCAACAGTGCCATGCAGAACTATCGGATTAATTAACGTGTGAGGTTATTCTGAAAAGTCTCTTCATTTCAAAGCTTTTCTCTGGGTTAGGGATAGTTATCCCAGAATTGTCTGATCCTAAATGAAAATAAGATTTAAATTGTTGTACTGTTCCTCCGTTTCCTTCCAGTTGTAAATGGCTTGGCACACAAACATTTAACTGAACTGGTCGACCTTTGTAACTCTGAAGGACTGAGATCCTCCAGCCAGATGCTCTTAGTGCAGCTGGGGGCTAATTTAAAGCACAATGGGGAACAAGCTCCCAGACCAAGTTGCCTCACAGACTCCGGACCAACCTGGTCTCCAGACTCTGGACTAACTAGTCTACCAACCTGCCCTCCAGACTCCGGACAAACCTGACCTCCAGACTCCGGACAAACCTGGCCCCAAGGACCTCTAGACCAACTTGCTCCCAAAACTCTGGACCAACTTACCCCCAAAACTCTGGACCAACTTACCCCCAAAAACTCTGGACCAACTTACCCCCAAAA